CGGGGGCGCGCTGGCGGGGGGGGGCGGGAGCGGGCCCGCGCGTGACCCGGGGGGGCGCGGAGGGGGGCGCGCGGATCCGCGTGCGGTTCCCACCGGCAGCCCCGCTCCCCTCTCAAGCGGGAGCGGGCGCACTGACGGGGGGAGGCGGGAGCGCTTCTCGGGGGCATAAACAGGCCTGGGGGGCAGATTGGAAGACCCGGAACCTTGATTGCTTTTCTGGCCGCGGCAGCGGCTTTGTCTGTCGTTTAATTTAGATGCAAATGAGGAGGGCAGGCCCGCTCCCCTGGCCGGCGCAGCGCGAGCATATTAATCGCGGCGGCGGAGACCCCGCTGCTCCGTCGGGTCCCGGGGCGCCCCGCTCAGGCTCCCTTCCCCTCTCTGCGAGCGGGAGGGAGGAGGAGGAGGAGGAGGAGGCAGCTTCCCGGCACCCTCTTGCCCACGGGCGCCCTCTTCTCTGGATTGTCCCGATCGGGCCCCGGGCCCCGGGCCCGGGCAAGAAGCCCCTTCTTCCCTCGCCCGCCGGGTCAGCCAAGCCCAGCCCAGCGCAGCGCAGCCCTGCTGAATCCGCCCGCCCGCTCCGCCTCTCTGCCGCGGCCCCTTCCCCCGCCGGTTCATCCGCCGCTGATCCCTTGGCTCGCTTCCCGGCACTGGCTTCTGGCCCGGGCAACCCTTCGCTCTTTCCTTTCCGAAGATGCCCCGGGATCGACCTGGTCTCTTGAGGGCAAGCTGGAAGCCTTCCCGTGGCTTTCTTGGCAATGGCGCCGAGCCGTTTTGCTCCCGCGATGTTTTTTCGGTTTCCCGATCTGGACCCCACCTTGGGCTGTCCTCGTGGTCCCCCATCCCTCGTGGGGGTGGGGGCTAAATCAGGGTTTCTTAGCATGCTGGGGGTTGAAATCCACACATCTTAAACTCGCCAAGGTGGGGAAACACGGGGCTAGATGGTGCTCCCTCTTGGCTGGGCAAAGCTAAACTCCCTCGACTTGAGCCTCCGTCCTGTAGTTTTGGAGGGCCGCTGTGTAGTGGCTTGCCGGATGCTCCTCTCTCCATCCGCTTCCCAGACTTTCCTACATCCCTGGGACTTCCTTGTGGTCTCCCATCCCTGGCCTAAAAACCAGACCTTTCCGACCGCGTCGCTCCTTCCCCGCTCCCATCCCGTCCCTCCGTCTTCCCCCCTTCCCCGCGCTCTCCGCCTCCCTCCCGCTCCCTCCGCCTCCAGGTGAAG